TGGCGTCCACGCCCGCCGGCACCGGGTCCACGCCCAGACCTACGAGGGACAGGGTGGGGGCGTCAACCGCAGGAGGAAGCAGTACAGAAACCTCTCCCGAGGCCACCGGGTGGACTCCGCGCCTCCTGGCAGCCGCCCTGGGGTCCTGCTGCCCCGGCCTCGACCTGTCCGCGCACCCCGGCTTCCAAGTTGTGCAGCCCTTCGGGTTCCCACCTGCGATCGTAATTTCAAGCTCCGCCCCGGGCCTCAGACTCCACCCCGGCTACGGCTATTACTTTGGTCCCACGTCGGGGCTCCTAGCCTCAGCCCTGCCTTCTGACTTTGGTGGTGAGCAGGACGTCCTCTCCCCGAGTGTCTTTAATTCAGACCGCGTTTCTGGTTTGAGCATTCCCACTCTCCTCAGACCCGCCCCCGGCTTGCTGCGGCGTGACCCTGCCCCTGGTCTCAGGGTAGTGAGGCCCGGTCTTTCATCACCCCCTCTTCTTTCCTCGCCCCGTACCCCTTGCTGCAGGCCGCCCCGCCCCGCCAGGCCCCACCGCTGCCCACCGGTCTTAAGCACCAGCAGGTGCAGCGCGTCGTCCTGAAGGTAGGAGGCGGCGGCGATCTCGTGCGTGGGGATGCGCAGGATGAGCTCCTCATTGTCGCGCCAGGTGAGCAGCAGGCACCGGGCCGACAGGCTCAGGATGCTGTCCTGCTCCGCAGTGGTCTTCAGTGGCAGCTCCTTCAGCTGCTGCGGGGTGGGTCGGGTCTCCTGAGCCCCGGGTGGGAGGCGTGGGTGGGAAAAGAAGGGGATGACGGGACCCTGTCCTCTGCCCTCTCTCCCCAGAGCCTCACCCGGGCCTTGTCCAGCAGCTGCAGGAGCTCATCCCGGCTGGAGGGGTTCAGTGAGGAAGTCACCCAGGTGAGGTGGCCTAGGAACTGGGTGAGAAATGAATGAGTGAGGGACACAGAGTCACCTTGAAGCCACGGAAGACCCTGGCCTCCTGAATGATGCAGTGAGACAGGCTGAGATAGAAATATCTGAATTCATAACAATCTGATGATAACTTACTGATTACAGCAGAAGCCAGGCACAGTTCTGAGGGCTTTATGTAAGTATATCCACTCACCCTCTTTAAGGATGAAGACCTGCAACACTGGGTGACTAAAAAATTTGCCCAAGGGTAGGTGCGGTTGCACACATTTGTTAATCCCAGCTCTCTGGGAGACTGAAGCAGGAGGATCACAAGTTCAAGACCAGTCTGAGCAATTTAGTGACTTACTGAAATTTGTCCCCTCAAAATGCAAAGGGCTAGGGATGTAGCTCAGTAAGAAAGCCCTGGGTTCAGTTCCCAGTAAGGCCTTGTGCATGCTAAGCAAATGTTCTACCACTGAAATACCCTTGCCTCTGCCGTAGTTTGACAGGACTGACCCCAGCTGGGTACGGTGGCTTATGCTATGCCTCTAGTGCCAGCTACTTGGGAGGCTGAGGCAGGAATATCAGGATTTGAGGCCAGCCTGGGCAACTTTGTGAAACCTCCTCTCAAGATAGAAAAGACTCAGGGGTAGAATGCTTTCAAATGGACTGCAGCTCATGAGCACGAAGATCTCCTTGCAGAAGTCAAAGGGAAAGGAAAGAAGGTATTGAATTAGTATTTCATTTTGTCAGAAAAATGGTGCTTCAAATCAATATATTAATTCTTCATTCATTCTTAGTTGTAACCTAACATTATAATTTAAATGTTATTCAATATGAGAATTAACTTTCTTCATTACTTGTAGTTATAATCGTGTAGGTGAATTCCACCAAACTTTTTCTCTTCTTCATATTCTTCATGAAGTCTCAGTCCCCAAATTTTAAATAGATTTGTTAGTTTCTCCCTCTAGGTTGCCAGATAAAATACAGGATGCCAGTTTAATTTGAATTGCCAATAAACAATAATTTAGCTTTGAAATTTTTAGAACTTTTAGTTCTGTGCAATATTTGGGACATAGTTATGCTAAGAAGTACTCAAATTCAAATTTAAAACTAGTGGCCCATTGTTTGCTAAATCTGACAATCCCATCCCATAACAACCTTCCTTGGCTAGTGAGGGTCCCCCACTGCCCCTCCAAGATGTTCCTGACATAGAAGTCCTTGGGGGATCAGAGTCCTCTGTGGCTTGTTCTTAACCTGGACACTGCCAGAGTAACAAGCTCACTGCAGTAAAATCTTATGGGGAAGCAGAGCTTTTTCACTACACAGAACACTGTCCCATTCATAACCCATAGGGACAGGTGTTGACCCCATGCTGAGATGAGAACAGTGAGGCTCAGAGGAAGGAGGGGTGACAAAAGCAGGGGTGAGGCTGACATGAACCCAGGCCTGTTTCCCAAGGGCCATAGCCAATCCTGTGTGAGACCAGGCTGCTAAGGGGTCAATGCGGAGCACAGGCCTCACCCAACCCCTTCTTATCCCACACTTACCTTGACCTCTTTCTCCAGGTAGTCACATAGCAGAATCTGGGGGTCGATGAGATAGTCAGGGGGATAAAGGGGCATCGAGTGCAGGGGCCGACGACTCACACTATTGCGAAAGGCTGCCCGGCGTGCAGCTTTGGGGAACACCAGCCTTCGGATGGGGGACACAAAGCCCTGGGGACAACAGAAGGGATAACAGTAATAACAGCACTGACTTTGTTGAGCACTTGCCATGGTCACTGTTCTACTGACATGACCTAACTTAGCTCTCTTTACTCTGTAAAAGGGGTGCCTTTGGGAAACGTTAGGTCCCGGAAATAGAGTTAGCTGAGAAGCTAATAGTGATGGGACTAGTAGCCCACTCTGTGCAATCCAGCCCCAAATCTCCATGCTTAACACCTGGTGACAATCAGGGTAAGGGAATGGGTCCAGACTGGGGCAAGTATAGAAAAAGTCAGTGTTGCTCAGTGATGGGTACATAGCTATTCGTTAAGCTATTCTCTGTGTTTTCCTAAAAGTTAGAAATAAGTGATTTAAGTCCACGCCAGGGGCACCTGCATAAAAATGGCCAGGATCAAGATTGGAGGTGCATATTATCGGGGCCCAGCGCAGAGAATCTAAATCTCTGGTGAAAGTCTGAGCACTGCTCTAGGGCAGCTGTTTTCAGTGTGTGCTTCCTGGATTAACAGCAGCACAGTGAAGCTGAGCAAAATGTAGATTCCCAGGCTCTATCCCAGATCCTCTGAACCCGAAACTCTGGAGGTAGGGCTCAGTGATCAGGATTTAATAAACCCTCTGGGTGATTCTGATGTGAGCCCAAGTATGAGAAACAAGCAGCTGCTCCCCACTCTGGCTGCATGCTGGAATTACTTGATTGGACAGCCTCTAAAACTCCAGGTGCCTAGGATGTACCCTAGACCAACAAAGCAAATCAGGAGTTCTGGAACTGGGATCCAGCCTTCACAACTCTTAAAGGCTCCTTAGGTGATTTCAGCGGCAGCCCACCTCTGAGCACATATATAAAATCTGTGGCACGATTTTTTTTTAGCCTCACAATAAGACAAGGTGAACAAAACATCACCCCTGTCTTTTAGGAGCTCACATTCTAGTTCAAGTAAATACACTATACACAAATCCACAAGTGCCTGTATTCATTCTTTCAGTGAATATTTATTCATGCCTGTGTGGCTTGGCCCTGGGCTGGGTGCTGGGATTCAGGGCCTGAACTGGACCCTGGCCTTGCCTCCAGGGTTCATGATAAATGTGAGATAAAAGACTGTGAGGTCTTTTATGCAGTTTTACATTACTTCATTCATTGCCCCCTCCCCTGTACCAGGGATCAAACTCATGATCTTGTGCTTGCCAGGCAGGGGGTGTACCACTGAGCTACATTCTACCCCTCACTGCCTTAAAAAAAAAAGTTGTTCTCCCTATTAGACTGTGAGCTCTGGGGAAGGAGCAGGGACCTTATTCGACTTTGCTCACCACCGCATCGTCACCAGCCCCTGGCACACTTCCTGGCACACGACAGGTGCTCAGCAAGTGCCTACCAGAAGAACAGAGCAAAAAGGGCACACACATGCCCTGGCTCCCTCCTGAGTGCATCGTGATCCACACAGGCACCTTTTAGGAGGCCCCTGAGCCAGGGTTCTTGGGGAATGAGGGCTCTGTGTGGGTGGAGTGGGGGAAGTTGGAATGTGAGGGGTTCTGTGACGCAGCCAGAGAGGCAGGTTAGAAAACTTCTCAGAGTCAGGGCAGGGTGGATCTTGGAGGAGTGAGGGGATGGCTCCCAGCAGAGGCCTTAAGAACTAGTTCTGTACAAAGATGGGGAGCAGTCAGGAGACCCAAGATGAGATAGGCTGCCTCCGAGCACAGAGTTGCCTGAGCTGGAGTGCAGGGGAGCAGGAGGATGGGTCTGCTGGGTGTCCGTGTGTCCCTCTGTCTGAGAAGCTACAGGAGGGAAACTTCAGGAAAACTAGAGAAGCAAGTTTCCTGGGGAAGTCCCTGTCTCTCTGTCTTTCTGTCTGTCCAGGGATGGCAGAGGCCACCAAGAGTGGAGAAACAAGTCAGGGAGTTCAGAGCCCAGAGGCCTGGCTGCTGGGGTAGAGAGGAAGTAAGGAGGAAGGCCCCACCTATGCCACCCGTCACCCCACCCCTAAGAGCCCCTTTCCCCAGCTTCAGGAACACTCCTCTGCCCTGCGTCCCGCTCAAACTCCCACCTACCTTCTTCCCTTTCTTGACTTCATACTCCATGGTGAAGCGTCCCCTGTTCTCCTGCCACCCTCGCCACCCCCCACCCTGTTCCTTTGTTCTTTTTCCTGCCTGGTCGGAAACTCCACCAGCACTGGAGTTCCTGCCCCTCCCGCCTGTGTGACAGTGGGGAAGGGAGGTGGAGGACATGGCTCCCCTGAAGCCAAAGGTGGAGGCCCAGGCCTCCAGCCAGAAGGGAAGCCGTCCAGGGGGCTTAGCCACTGGGACAGGCTGGGGAAGGGACCCCTGTGTTTGGAATCCAAATTTCGAAAATTTCAAGTTCCAAACCCAATTCTGCCACTGACCTTGTTATATGACCTTGGCCAGGAAAGTCACTTCCCCTCTCAGAGCCTATTGCCCCTTCCCCTCTCTAAATAGGGAGTAGCCCACTCCTCCTTCTCTGGGCTGCTGTGGAAAGAAATGAATGAGAGTGGGTATAGAGTACCATGTCCAAGCAAGATTTAAAACAATTCACCATTGCTATTCAGAGACAGTGTGTGTGGGCTTCGGAAACTGGCTGCCTGAGTTTGAATCAAGGCTTTGCCACTTACCAGGGTTATAACCTTGGGCGATTTCCTTAAGCACTGATGTTTCAGTTTCCCCATCTATAAAGAGAGCTAATACGAGTTTGACTTCAGGGTGACTTTCTAAGGATTAAATGCATACAGAGGAGCTCCTGGCACAGATGAATTACTCAGTAAATTTTAACTATTAGGGGTAGAGGTGTACCTTAGTGGAAGAACACTTGTCTAGCATGTGTTTAGTCCCCAGAACCACAAGCACACACACACACACACACACACACACACACACACACACACAGCCCTATACACAAACACATACACAAGCACACACGCGCACTAGCTATTTACTTTTCTATGGCTCATGGGCTGTTTTACTGTCTCTTGAGAGAATGTTAGGAAGGCAAGGCTTCTTTTGTGGTTCTGTACCAGGCACTGTACATATTTTGTCTCATTCCTTACCTTGGAATGGTACCTTGGGGTACCGTTATTCCTACCACACAGATTATTCTGGTTTTTTTTGGAGACATAGTCTTGCCATGTAGTCCAGGCTGGTCTTGAACTCACTGTGTACCCAGGCTGGCCTCAAACTCATGGTGATCCTCCTGCCTCAGTCTCCTAAGAGCTGGGATTACAGATGTGTGCTGCCATACCTGGCCCCGTATACAGATTTTGGTTTTTTGGTTTTTTTTTGGTTTTTTTGGTACGGGGAATCGAACTCAGGACCTGCGCTTGCCAAGCAGTGCCACCAAGTTAAATCCTCATCCCTAAGCTAAATCCTGCCCTGGCCCCCATACACAGATTTTCAAAACTCAGATTTAAGCATGGAGCCTAGCTCATTAAGGTCACAGAGTATGTAAGAGGACCTGGGTGTTTTGGCTGGTCTGGATCTGAAATCTAGTGTCCCTTACTTCTAGAATCTGCACCTTCTGCATTCTCCAACTAGGACACTTAGAAAGGTTCTTGGTGGTCCAGCCATACCATGCCCTGACACTTGGGTTCTGAAGGCTCAGGTTCTGGAATGCCTTTGCTATATGACCCTGGCCAGTTGCTTATTTATTTATTTACAGAGTTTCACCATGTAGTTTAGGCTGGCCTTGTACTCACTATGTAGTTCAGGGTGACTTTGAATGCACAGCTGGCCTCCTGCCTCAGCCTCCCAAGTGTTGGGATGATAGGTGTGTACCACCACACCTTGCTCCAGGCTTTTTATTGAAACCTCATTTTGCCACAGTATTACCTTCCCAATAGGATCCATAGTCCCCAAAGCTCTTTCCTGCTATTCAAAATACGGCAAGGAAGACACAAAAACACAGACAAGAAAGCAGCTGGAAAGTGTAATGTGCAGGTGTCGGGGCACTGAGCTGTGCTGCATTGTTTTTGAAAGCATATGTGTGATCCCTGCTGCCTCTGGATGTGGGAGCTACAGGAGATTGGGGGGAAATGGCCCCTGCTTAATACCAGCTCTCCCGACCTCTTCCCCCTGCTCCTCTACATCCTGATTGTCACCTTCCAACAGCAGGAAGTGAGGTCTGCACTCACCCTGCCAGGTCAACAGGAAGAGGCAGGGATGTGTGGGCCAATCCCTGATTCTATTCTTTACATCAAACTCACCTTCTACCCCTTGGGCCGGTCCAGAATCCCCACCGTCAGAGTGGCAACAGGCATCAAAGACGTTCTCTTACTCTGGCACTCCCATGGCTAGCTTTTGTAAGCCCTATCCTCTCCTGGGGTTCAGTTTCCCAGTCTATGAAATGGGACTTTATATTATTCCTTGACAGAACGTTTCTGAACTGCTGGGAATACCAGCTAAGACCAGAAGTGCTTCAAATGCCACTAGAGAGAGTTAACTATTCTCTGCAGTGCCCACACTAGAGCCATGAACAGATGAAGTGCGTGGTAATTGTCACTGGAAGTGGTCGGAGATGGGGGACCTATGGCTGAATATAAATGACCTTGAACACAAGTTACCTCATCTCTCAGAACCTCAGAGCCCTCCTGTGTCAAAAGCAGGATAATGATGACGCCTGCCTCAGAAGGCTGCTACGGGGATTAAATGTGAAGAGGAGCATACAGTGATAATATATATTATTAAAACTAGCTTGTGAATCAAAAACAAGGTGAGCCAAATAAAGTCCCCGTTTTCAGAGACAACTATGGCAGATAGGACTCACCTCCAATTGATTGACAGGGTTGCCTAGAGAGCTGTGTCGAGGATTATAAAAAGCAAACCTGCTCCCAGCAGGAAGAAAGGATTGATTATCAATGCCTGCCCTGGGCAGGAGAAGGGAACAGGGCAGCAGGGCCAGCAGTGATACATATGCCAACCCTGACTGCTTAGAGAAAGACACACACAGCAAAGAACTCCACTGTAAGGCAAGCTGCGTGTGTCGAAAAGCAGAAGCAGGAGCCACTCCTCCAGCCTGAGGCATTCCAGCCAAGCCCTGGAAGGGAAGGGAAGTAAGGCTGAGGGAACAGCTTGAGCAAATACCTGGTGCCTGATGTGATGCTTCTGGCAGCAAGGAACTGGCAGTCCACACAAAGGGGACCAGACAGGAAGGAGCATTATTATTGCTAGTGACAAGAAGTCCCAGAACAAGGGCTTTCTGGGCTGGGTAACTGAGCAGTTGAACAGTGGCATCGAGTTCCTCATACTTTTCTACTTTGCTGGTGTTGTGGGCTGAATTGTGCCCCCCCCTTATGTGCTGAAGCACTTAACCCCCAGGACCCCAAAATGTATTGAGGTTGGGCCTTTCAAGAGTTTATTAAATTCAGGTGCCTCGAGGGTGGTCCTAATCTCACCCTTGGAAGAAGAGAAAATGTGGGCATAGAGACATCAGGGGCAACTGGTAGGAAGACCATGTGAGGATGCAGCAGGAAGAGAAGACAGTGGGCTACAAGCTCATGAGAGGGGCCTCAGGAGAAGTCAACCCTCCCACACCTTGGACTTGGACTTCTAGACTCCAGAATTGTGAGAAGACAAATTTCTATTGCTTCAAGCCCTTGTCTGTGGGTTTTGTTATGGCAGCCCTAGCAAACTAATACAGCCGGCAAAATGGCTGTAGCCACCATGGGAAAAACAGACATGAAGCCATCCAGCAAGATGAGACTGAGAGATTCCCCTCTTTTTTTTTTTTTTTTTTGAATACTGGGGATTGAATTCAGGGAGCACTAAGCTGCATCTCCACCCCCTTGTAAACTTTTCATTTTGGGATGGGGTTTTCCTAAATTGCCCAGGCTGAATGCCAACTTTTGATCCTCTTGGCTCAGCCTCCTGAGTAGCTGGGATCACAGGCATGTACCACCATGCCTGCCTTCTTTTGTGTCTTTTTTGTCATGAAGTAAAATCTTTTCCAGAGACTCTTCAAAAGATCTCTCCTGGGGAGCCAATGGTTCAGATGCATTAACCAGGATACATTTGATTGTAACAAAGACCCAAATGACAGTACCCTTAAACATGACAGAAATTTATCTTTTTTTTTCACGTAATAGCTGAGGCATGCACAGTACAGTACAGGTATGGCATGGGTCGGAGATTTAGCTCAGTGGTGCTGCCGCCTGTCTGGCAAGTCGCAAGCGCAAGGTCCTGAGTTTTATCCCTGAGAACTCCACATGTCATGACCTATTTTGCTGCATCACCACCATATGTGGTTCCTCCCTGGCAGCAACGAAAGGCCTAGAAATGTCTCATCCCCTTGTGCTCTCCACACAGCTTTGTCCTGCCAGTTGAAAATGCCACCTAGTTGCAAAAGAGGCTGTGAAATGTAGTCTTTTATCTCAGTGGCCACAAGCATAGCTAAAAGTTCCTTTATAGAAGGAAGGGGAGCATAGTACAGCAGACACTTGGCCCCTGCCCCCTCCCATAATATCTGGTCAGGAGAATTATCTTAGATCAATGCTTCACCTACTTGGGCATGCATCATAATCACTTGGAAAACTTGTCAGGCAGGTTGCTGCTCAGGAGTGCCACACCTGCCTGGCAAGCACAAGGTCCTGAGTTCAATCCCCAGTACCAGAAAAGAAAAAGTCAAAGACAAGTTGGCACTCCCCACCCATTCGTTAGCTGATTCAGTAGGGCTGGGGCCTGATCATCAGCATTTCTAACAAGTTCCATAGTGTTGCTGATCTGTGGACCACATATTGAGAGCCATTGTTTTAGGTCAATTATGGTTTTGCTCCTGAGGCCAAATTAAGGATAACATATTCTGAGTACTTGGAAGGGGGTCCCTAGGAAACTGAGGTTCTCTGCATGAAAAGATGGTGAAAAAGGCTGTTGGGTGGCAACCAGGAGAGTGTCATGGAAGCAGGTAGATGAGGGGCTTGGAAAAGCTCAGTGGGCCAGGCAGGACTCCTGGAGGTGAGGCTCAGGAGATATTTGGGACCCAGCTTGGGAAAAGTTAGCATCAGGTAAAAGAGTTGACCTTTATCCTGAAAGAGCTGGGGAACTATGGGAGGTTCTAAAGCAAGTAAACATCATGATCAGATTTGTGCAAGGATGCATTAAAGGAATGGTCCTTGGAATGAAGTCTTTAGACTACCTCACACCAAAGTCTCCTGGAGACCTTTTGAAGTAGATTTCCCAGCATGTTCTGTCTGCACTCTGGTTAAGGAGATGGAAATCTGCATTTGAAGAAAGCTCCCCTTGTCCTCCAAATAGTTTTTGATGCTCTTAGAAGCTTGAGAATGACTGGATTAGAGTGCAAATCCCAGAGGGAAGGATTTCTTAGAGGCAAGGCCCTCTACAAAATAAGCTCCTGTTTTATCTTTCTGTTTCACTGTATCTGGCACATAGTAGGCTCTCAGTACATACTTGTTTTAGTGGAGTTAGGAATCTTGATTGTGTCATGAACTCATTCTGTGACCTTTGACAAGTATGTTCTCAATTGTACCCTCTCTTTTTCCCTGTTACCTGTAAAATGGGTTTGGAGATAATCCCTAGACATGCTGGCCTGGGGTTCTGGATAATTGATGGAGATTTTATCCAATCAGCAAGGAAATTGCTTAATGTACTGCCCTCCCCCAACCAACTGTAAGGAGCCACAGAGATTGTGGTAAAAGTACCCATCCTTCCCCAACCCAGAATAGCCAAAACAATAGGACACAAGCAGCGTGTACTGAAATGACTTTTAATATCTCATGTTGCAGCAAAATTAAAAATATACAAAAAGTTTGTGGAGTACAAAAGAGTCTTAGTACAGAAGCCACAGCTTGGGGCCCCCTCCCGCTCCCGGGGGAAGCTCAGAAGGGCGAGTGGGGGTGAGGGGACTAGGAATGGCACAGATGTAAATATCAGGAAGTGGGACTGGGAGTAGGAAACAGAAGGAGCAGGGTGGGGGCTGATCAAGGAGGGAAGAAGGGACATAAAGGGAATCACCCGGAATTGTGCTGACAGAGGGAAATCAACCCCTCAGGCATGGCTAGTGATTCCTGGAGAAAAACTGGGGCAGGGAGGCTTCTGGTGGAACTTTCTCCTGAAGGACCTGGGTTCTGGTCCTACCCTGCCATCAGCTTTCTGTGAGACCTTGGGCAGGCTGTCTCCGGTCTCTGGGCCTGCCCCTTCCATAAAATACGATGCTGGACACCTTGAGCTGCCAGAGCCTGCCTGAGGGTCTGTGGAGGCAGGAATGGGCATCCATGAGTGCTTTTGAGAGTAACCAATAGAATACAGAACCGTCCCACCCTCAAGCCCTGGAAGCTCACCTGAGATCTTGGCAGCATTTACTGCAACCAGAATCTCATTTTGATTTAATGTGGCAAAATGAAACCTTCATCAAGAGGGGAGCCCCGCGTGGGAGAAAAGACGGATTTCCCTAAGCACAGGATCATCAGGGGTGAAAAGAGTAAGTGGGGCCCCAGGAATGGTTCCTGATCCTTGCAGTGGGCTGTTTGCCTGAGGCCCCTCCACGTTTGGGAGTTTAGCCCAATGCAGACAGGCAGAAAGAAAGCAGGACAGGAGGCCACGGTAGGACTGAATGGATTACGGAATTTAAGTGACTGGGGGATGGAGGGATCATCCTTTTCCCACCTGCTTCTGTCATTATCCTCTCTTTGTCCCGGCATCCCCTTCACTCTGAGATTATTGCAGTGTCCCTGGGTCCCCATCCCTCCAGCCTGGCCCGGGAGACCCTTACAGTGATTGTGCATAGAATAAAGGCCAGGGTTGCTGGGGACAGGACTGCTTTCTTGTCAGGAGAAGGTTGGGAGGGCGGGGGAGCTAAGGATAGGCAGTTCCCTATGTGCACCAGAGGCTTTTGTGCTAGGCAGGCTCTGGCAGCCCAACCAGGCCAGGACTCCCACTGTGTTCCGTTCCAGCTGCCTTCCTCTACTTGCCCCTACCTGCCAACCAAGGACTGGGAATGTCACATCCTTTTCAAACCAGAATGGTAGATTAGTCTCCTTTCCCCCTCCAGCCTAGGGTCTCAGAAACCTCTTTGGCTGGGAGAAGGGACTTGGGTTCTGGCCCCATAGCTGCCCATGTGACTTCACACTCAGTCTCTTCCACTGAGATCACAAAGCACTTCATTATGGAGACTGACAGCTCTCCTCCACCTGTACCCAGCTTGGGTGGGGGCGGAAGCAGTTCCCAGAGACCAACGTAGCATGGGGACAATGGGTCCCCCTTTCAGCCTTCATCTTGTGCCTAGACTCTACCCCTCACCTGATGCAGGTTTCTCCTCGCCAGTAGTACCACCTCACTGCAAAAAAGAGACTCCAGCCCCTAAGCTGCCCAGAGGCCCTGGGTGGGACCATAGCCCTTACCAGTTGGTGGTTCCGGAGCCAGGCTTTTTGTGGATTCCCCAAACTCCCGCTTCTTTTCAGCTGAAGTGGTGGGGGGTCCTTGTTTAAGATGGCCAGGTGACAGGAGTGTAGTTAAGCTGGAAGTCTCAGAGGAAGCCAAGGCCTCTGTCCCTGACTTTCCAAAAGGTTTCTGGGTTCTGCAGGGCTTCTCAGAATCGTCGAACTGAAGGTTTCAAACTGGTGGCCCCAGTCTGGGTATTTAGTTTGACCAGCACAATGTGTTTGTAAAAACCTGGACTTTAGTGCCAATGGGCAGGGCACACACTGTCTTGTTTGCCAGACGGCTCCCTCATCCCATTGATACCTCTACTTCCCTAGCTTGCATTTCCTGCAGACATTTGAGTTTGCAGGCCACAAACCTTCCTCAGAGGACCTTCTCCCCATGCCTGACGTCTCCGGGCAGGATCTGAAGAATTTTGATCTTCAGGGGGCTTTGGGGCTGCCGGACAAGCGCTTTCCTGTACATTCCCAGCTTCCTGGTCCTTACCTGGAGACCTAGGCCTCGCTTTCTCAGTCCAGGGAGACACAAGTGTCACAGGGAGCTGGTTGAGGGTAAGGAAATTTTGGGGTAAGTAAAAGAATGAGACACAGGAGAGGAAGGGACCAAGAAAGCCTCCCTTGTTGGGGAGCCCTTGCTAGAGAGGATGGAGGCCTGTGTTGCTCAGCTGGGTGGCTGTTACAAGGCACATGTTATGTCAGTGTGTGGATGTATGACAAAGGGTGCTTGGTGCCCAGACAGGTTGGGGAGAACAGTCAGCAGCCTATGGAGTCAGTTCAAGGGTGGCAGCTCAAGGAAGTAGGGAGACAGAAGTCTGCCCTGGAAATGGGGACAGTTCTCCTGGGATTAGATGCTAGGGCAGGGCCTCCTGGTGCTTTGGTACCAGAGTGTCTCTTCTCTTCTGTTCCTGGCAAAATTAAGACAAATCTGATGAGAGCTGTCACATCCCCAGGAAAATTGTAACTCTGGTACCGATTTCCTGTGTGATCTTGGGCAAGTGCTTGCCCCTCTCCAGGCCTGTTTCTCCTGTATAATGGGTGTGGAGGGCAGGCGGCTTAGGGAATCCCAAGAGCCCCTCTGGGTTATGGTTCTGGAGCCCTCTTTCACACCAGGGACTTTATAGGGATTCTGAGAAGGAACGAGTATCTAGGCTGGGGTGAGACAGGGAACGGGGAGTGAAGAACCCATGGGGTCTGGTTATGGCAGGGAAGACAGACAGGCTGAGGTAGATTGTGTCACAGAAAGGAACAGGAAACAGCTCCAAGGGGATGGCCCCTCTGGCAGTCTGATTCCTCTATCCCAGTGCAACAAGGGGATAGGTCAGCAGAGAGCGGGACCTTAGGCCAGGAAGAACAGGGTGGGTCCTGAAATTCAGGATCAGAAGGCTGAGCTGTCTCCTAAGGCTAAGAAGCAAAAGGTGAACACAACCCTCTCCTCTGGCTCTTTGATCCTGACCTTTTCTGGTGTTCAGATGTTCTTACATGCAGAGGTCCTGAGGGAAGTTTTGTGGGATTGAGTTTAAAAAAAATGTGGCTGTGATTCCCCTTTGAGCCTCAAGCATGACTAGCACTGCCAGCTCACTCAGGTCCCCAGCTCCTAGAGCTCCCAGAGCTGTGAAGGACCCCCAGATCTCAGGAAGGGTATTTCTAACTTTTCCTTCTGGGAAGCTGGAGGAGGCAGCCAGATGGGCCATTCCAGGACCCTGGAGAGTAAAATAACTCGCCAAGGGTGACCATCAGGTAACTGTGTTGAGCTTCAGTTTTCTCATCTGTAGAATGGGAAGACAACACCTCTGATTGGGATGTTGAAAGAAGGGGAAAGTGTGAGGGAAACAGCATGGGGTAAAAATTCCTGGCAGTTGGCTTTGGGGAAATAGGCAGTTGGGTTTGAGCCCCATCTGCGATGCTCATTGTGCAAAGGCTATGATGTGTGTGTAACTGACCATGGTCTTGGTTCTCAGGAGATAAATTGGGGCAGAGAATGAGGAATATGGGTGAGCCCACCAGAGTAGACCTACTTCGGGATAGGACCACTCCTTGCTCTTCAGTTCCTGAGGCTTCTCAGGAATCAAAGAAGCAGAGGAAGCAGGAAAAGCTTTCTGTGTTGCAGGAGGAATACACGCACCATCTTGGGCTGGTGCTTTCTGTGTAGCCACTGGTGGTGCCTGGGGCTGGGTTACTTGTATCATAGATGTGACGTGCTTGTGCATGTGCATATGTGCGTGTGTGTGTGCAGTCCTGCCCTCTTTGCCTCCTGAGCATGGCCCCCTCCTCACACCCTTAGCACATCCATCACCTATCGCCATTTGATGGAAATAACCAGCCATCTCGGGCCTTGAGAGCAGTTGCCACTCTGGGCCTCAGATTCCCATCTGCAACTTGGGAAGCTGAGCAGGGAGGGCTAAGCACCCCTTCTAATTTGCATAGTGTAGGATTCTCATGGCCTCCTTTGCCCCTAGCCAGGGTCTGCATCTGTCCCTAAAGTCCCCTGCAGGCCCCTCCTGGGGAACCCACCTTAGCTGCTATGGGGAATGGGAAGGGGTTCCATCTTCTGCCTAAAGTCTCCATCCCTCCAACCTATAGGACCACATATTTTCCCACCGCCACACTCCTGTACCCCATCTGGGACTGGTCCCTGGTTCAGGGGAGCAGCCCTGGATGTGTGGTCCCATGCATACCCCAGGATGCTCGGGCCATGGGAATGGACCACGAGTCCTGGGTGGTTATCAGATCAGAGACAATATAAGTCAGTTTCCCAGATACTGCCCCAGAGAGCTTAATCTGCAGGGTGGTGGAGAGCCAGGATTCATGTCATGTCCCCAGAGCTATTATTTTTCCTGCTGAGAAGCAGCTGGCAACTGAAATAGCTGAGTTCTGGGGACAGCTTCCTCTTTAGAAAGATGACTGTGGACCAAGATGGACAGGGACCTAGAACTCTCATAAGTCCCAGAAGTCTAGAACTGCAGCACCAGGCCTAGACTGTTTAATTTGCACTGGGTTCTAGGGCCCCATTCCCCTCAGCCACAATAGTGGACTCTAGTATCCCCCATAGTGGAGCAGTGTCCTTGCTCCTATATCCTTACCTCTCCTAGTGGAATATAGAGCATCAGCTCCCTAGGACATTTTATCAGCCATGTGTTCTTGAACTTCGTATAGAGCTAAGCATGTCTCTAGAATAGTTCCCGTTACATGTGCTGCCACCTCATGTGTATTTGAGCCCAGACAGAGTATCTTCCTAGACACTTTATCTGCTGTGTTCAAGACCTTCATCTGGAAGAAATGTTCCAGATGCTCATCTAGAACAAAGAATGGCTTCTTGAAAAATTCACCTGAGGTGTCTAGAACGTCATCCATACCAGTCCACAGCAAAGCATGTCTCTCGAGAAGCTCATGTTCCTTACTCTCTCTGCTCTGGATTGCAGATCCTTCACCCTGCCATGTTCCTGCCAGCCTGGGCCCTCAGGGTTCCTTCTCCTATCCATCTCTGCACCATCAGCCCCCACCCAACTACCCCCACCCGCTTTCCCTCCTTCAAGTCCCCTCTTGCTTCAGACCCTACGGGACATGCCAACCCTGTCCACAAGCTGTGCCAACTCACTCCCCACCTCCCACTGTGTCCTCCACCTCAGATTCTCTCCCATCACAGAGGCAGCCCACTCCATACAGCTGCTGGAGAGCAAAGGGCCTGGGCCATTGACTCGACAGTACCCTTCCTCTGCTAGGTCCACCAGGGGTGACAGGTGGGCAATGCCAGGCAGGAGCAAGGGCACCGGCCCCTGCATCAGACATGATATGGAGGCCCCAATAAAAATGGGGTAGCTCATGAAGAATGTAGCACCAGTCAACTCCCTGGGCCCTGGTTCAGTGGACTTTAGGGAATGGGCCGCAGGACTGAAAACAGAACCTGGGGCTGGGGCCTCCCCTGAAAGGCTGCCCCCAATCCTAAATGAACCCAACGATGGGGCCACTCTATCCTTGGACCAACAGGTCCACAGCCCGGTGGCCCTCAAACTCTGGGTCAACACTGTGGTTGATGTGGGATCACCACATCTGTCCCCTTTGGGGGAAGACTGTGGCCTACACCGTGGTCTCATATTCCAGCAGCTCCTGGGAAGTCCCCATGCTCCGGTACTGCAACCGGGGTGTGGCAGGTGAGGAGTACTCCAGTGCCAAAATGGTCTTCCGGAGCCGGCGGTCAATAAAATGAGCATCCCATGCTGGGTACTTCTTACGAGGCAAGTCAATCCGAATGACAGGCACCTCTGTCCGCACAGGCCGAGCTACTGGTGTGGGAGGCAAGCCAGGCCGCACCTGGAAGACAGGTGGCGTGGGGGTCCCTGCACGCTCACCCCCCATTGAGGCCCCATCCCGTTCCGTGCCTGTAGTCCTTGGCAGGGACCTTGGGGGACTTGTGACAGCATCCGCTGGTGGGCCACAGGGCCTAGGGGCCTCAGGGAAGATGCAGCCAGGCACCTGGGGACCCAGCATGGGCCCATTGGGGTGCAGGAGACAATAGTAGACGCACATGAAGAATATGCCCAGTGCGAAGCTGGAGGCCACCACGCAGACCAAGAGGAGTGAATGGAAGTCAAAGTTGCGGCTGGAGTACCAGAAGCCGGTGAGCGCAGCATTCTCCAGCAGGGTGACGCAGTAGTACAGGGTCATGCGGCGGCGGCTACGCCCCTCCTTGACATTGAACCAGCAGAAGATGTAAATGACGCCTACCACCATGTTGTAGATGATTTCCTCCCACTTGGACATGCAGAAGTCAGTCTCTCCCTGGATGACCCAGAAGGTCATGACGCACCAGTGAGCCACAATGAAAATGCCAAAATAGAGTTTATAGACACTGGCAAAGAGGGCAAAGGCCAGGCTTCGGGCTGCAATGGTGAACAGGTGCCACAGCACCTGGGCCACAGCGCCCTTGTAGGACAGGGGCCGCTTGTCATCCCTTGAGTCCCGCAGCACCTTCTGGTAGGAGGCCAGTGTCCATGCCAGGGACACAAGGGAGGCGGAAGTAGAGAGGGCTGTAGAGACAGGGTGAGGGTGGGGTGGGCTGGGTTAGGGTGGGTCTGGGTGGGGGTCTGGGGAGAGCAGGAGGGGAGGTTCTGAGGTGTGAGGGAATAGTCTGTTGGGGAGTACAGGTATGGAGAAGGCCAGGGTCAGGCTCTTCAAGAGCCGTGATGGCGAAGTGAGGCAGGATGGGGTCGGCTACTTCTCTGGTTGGAGGAGCATAAAAAGGGAGATGGAAGTTGGGTGATTTTGATCCCCACAAGAGTCAAGTCTAAGACTCTAGTTTGGGGTCATTAGGTTTCAGGGGCCATTGTGGGTGGGTGGGAAATTCAGGTGCAGGACTGGGAGTGGAAGAGGAAGTAAAGAGGGAGTCGTGATTAAGGCATGGAGGTGCTAGGAAGGGACCTTGGAAGATACAGCCCAGCAGGACGAGGCTGGGTATGGAGGATACCTAGAGCTGAGCAGAGTTAAGGGGTGGGGAGAAGATCTCATATGAGATCTTGTGTTTTAGGCGAGGGATTCCTAAGGGGCATGAGGGGTGGTGATGTAGTCTTTTGGGAAACTGCAGGTGGTTTGGGCAGGGTCTGGGTGGGGAAAGCACTAGGTGCTCTAGAGACAGGGAATGTGGCTTTCCTGTGTCCCTGAGGGCTGGCCTGGAGTGTTATGGAAAGTGCAAGGTGGGGGTGAACAGGACTAGTGTGGGAGAGGGGACGAGGGAAAGGGGACTGGGAATAAGCCTTGGAGGGGGCCCAGAAGCCCTAGTGGACTGGTTCCTTCCAACTAATGGCAAGAGGGTGGATGTGTGGGGAAGGGCCCCCAGGCGGGGATCAGGACAGTCTGGGGAATGAATGGGGCAGTGGACTTCTACACCAGCCTGCAGTGTGTTGAGGGTGCGAAGGGCAGACATGGGATCTGGTTTGCCCTGGCAGTGGAGAAGAGGGAAAGCAGGTGGGAGGCACCAGGGGGCCTGAGGGGTGGCAAGAGGTTGAAGGGTCAGATACAGGCGCCATGGGACAGGCCTGGAGTGGGGAGAGTAGACGGCGGGCTCCCTAAAGTATGCCAGGGGCACTGAGGGCGGGAAGGGGCAGGGCTTCCCCCAGGGCCCGCAGCAGGGGCAGGGCGGGGAGGAGCGGGGCGGGGCTCTGCTCACCCGGCAGCAGGTCGGGCTCCCCGCGTTTGTCCACCAGCAGGCTGAGCTGCAGCACCAGCTGCGGCGCGCTGCGCAGGAAGGTCTCCAGCAGGCGCAACATGCTCACATCAGCGCTCTCGAACAGCATCCGCCAGTAGAAGTGGCGCCGCAGCCGTTCCCCACGCCAGCGACTCTGCAGGCCCAGGTACAGGGCGTGCAAGTACCTGCGGGAGGCACGCGGCGCTCAGCGTCTGGCTCTCTTCAGACCACGCCCTTCCACCCGCCCCAGCGGGGCTGCCAGCGCAGCGAGAGTCCCTCCGCGTGCAGCTGTAAAATGGGCAGGCAGAAAGGATCACCTGGGGGTGGATGGGAGCAGGCCTCGGCTCGTTAGCTTCCTGGGCGGAGGCCCTTGATACAGCATTATCACCGACATTAGGGGGCTGGCCTTGGCGGGGGGGGGGGACTGACACCAGAGAGGGCGTACACCAGCTCTATTATCATCCCCATCTTGTAGAAAAGGAAACTGAGACCCAAGGAAGCTTATCATTTGCTCAAGGTACCACAGCAGGAAGCAGTGGAACCAGGATTCAAACCCAAACCCAGGCAACACTCTGACCATTAGGGTGCATTGCCTCATACTCAAGTCATAAAGGGTTTTGCCCACAGGACTACTTCAGTAACCCTTCCAGTTCTGCAGCAGCCACTTTTTGGCCTATCCCTGATCTCAACTCAGTGCACAGGCAGCTTACTTCCTCCAGGGAGTTGAGACCTTGCTGGTTCCTCTTCTGACACTTCTACCAACAAATCTTGTGGCTTCTGGTACTCTGCACAGGGCACAGATTCCAGGGTCCTTAGTGCCCTCTCATACTGCTGAGCTTTTATACCTGCTACTCCCTCCTCCTGGAATACCCTGCCCTGTCCCCCAGCCCCCCAGCCCCAAACCTGGAGAAGTCTTGCTTTTCTTCCAAAGCTCTGCTTTTAAAGAACTTCTTTCAGGAAGCTGCTATCTACTTTCCACCGGGAGTAGCCTCCCCCAAGCCTCGTTGCAGTGGGTTAGGACTGCCTGATCATGCATGCAGTTCCACAAACTGAGCTGCAGGACACTGAGTAACTGTGCACCTTCAGTACTACTCGTACAGTAGCTGCTCAGTCCACAGTGGGCTGCATGAATGCAACTTATGCAAGTCTGCTGAGTTGACTAGAATGCTGGTAACCTGGGGAGCAGCCAGAAGAGGAGAGGAACTCTGAGTCCTGAGTCCGTTTCCTGACTTTGCTTCTAACTTACTAAACAAGACTCTCCCCGAGCCCTAGTTAGTCTCTGGCAAAGTAGCTGTGAGGATTGAATAGATGGGAAACTAGTTTGCATATCATAAAGTGCAGCACCCATGGAGGATGAGATGTCATCTGTCCACACAGATCTCTGGGTTCACTTTCCCCTCTCCTGCAGAGCAGGTGCTCTCTGGCTGTTGTGCCCACAGACTCTGCCCCTTCCCCAGCCTCCCAAACTCAGATTCATGGGGCAGGCAGGCACTTTGCTGAAATCATACAGCAATTCTCTGAGAGTGGCCTCCTCGGGAAACCAGGCAGGGAAGTCCCAACACAGATTTAGTGACCTTACTGCCCGGATCTGAAACTGGGGAGCCTGGGATTTGGGGAATCTATTCTCAGATGAGAAGTACTGACATTTCCAGTGTGTTATTTGGGAACCAGGGGGCCAACTGTAGTCACAGTGTACTGTTAGCCCAAGGGAGGAGGTGATGTACCATGGGACCAGCTAAAACCACGTTTCCTCAAAAGGGTATCTTGCTCTTAGCAGCAGTGTGGCAGTCTGTGGGCCTTTGTTTCCATTGGCCAATGAGAGGGATGAGCTTGATGGCCTTGGGAATCCTTTCAGACATGATATTCTGGAGCCCACAGTCTCCCCACGGTATGCGGCTAGGAACCCCTCCTTTAGAGCCTTCCTCCCCATCCCCAGTCAATGCTGTAGACACACCCTCCACATGTTACAGGTTTGGCATCCAAAAACGAGGAAGGGCCTGTTCCCTTCAAAGCTGATTTGGGAAATATTAAAGGCCCCTCAATCCAACTCTCCCTTTCCACACTGGAATTCCTTCAGCCCTTTCCAGCTTCTTCATTCACACTCACTGCTTACACACTTCCCTCCCTCCTGATGTGAGTCCCTCAGCTTCTGAGCAGCTCCGGATGTGGATTTTGTTTCTTCTGATGAGCAGAAATTTGTGTCCCTTTATCTTCCATTCTCTGGGCCCCCTCCCACCTTCCACATAATGATTTCTGCAGCCAGAAATGTTCTTTGCTATTTATGCAATAGCAAGTGTATTTTAACCACCTGTTTTGTGCCCTCACATTTCTCACAGTCTCACGGCAGGAGGGACAGGAGACAGGTAAGAGGCAAAACAGACACTACACGATGCTTTGGAGCCCTTAGATTTTTGTTTTGTTTTGTTTTGTTTTTGTACTGGGGATCAAACTCGGGACCTTGCTCTTGCCAGGCGGGCACGGAACTACTGAGCTAAATCCTCCGTCCCCAGAGATGGGTATCTCTCAAGGGTCAGGGAAAAGTCAGGGAAGCCTAGAGGAAGATCTCATTTTTAAAGCAGGGATCAGCACTTGAAGGCACCGAAGAGGTGGAAGGGCATCCTTAGCTGACACAAAGGTGCAGAGGTAAGAGAGCACAGGACATAGGGCAATGGCCAGTGGCTTGCTGGGCCTGGACAGGAGGGCTTTAATAGGAAAAAGCACAAAAGGCTAGAACTGTAAAGTGCAGCACATTCTGGACATGGAGCGGCTGGCAGTGTAGCTTAAGGTAGAACACTTCCTTGGCCACGCACAGGGCCCTGGGTTTGAGCCCTGCACCATTAAAAATATCTGGACTGCAGAGTTTGGATTTTATTTTAAATCTGAATTCCATCCCAGAATCAGAGGTGATGTTATCAGCTCAGTAGCTCTGAAACCTGGCTCTGGAGACTGGCTTGGAAGGAAGCCAGGAGAAGCTGGGGTTTGGTCCAGGCCTGCAATGACAAGGGCTGAGCTGGGGACATAGGAGGGACAGAAAACAGACCTGGAGTGGCTAGAAGTGGGGGGCTGTGAGAGAGGCTAAGATGGCCCCTCAGGTTCTGAGGGGCCCAGAACATAGCCATCTTCCCTGGCCTCCACCTTTTCTGCCTTCCCAGCCCTTTCCCCGCATCCTCCACTTCCACGGCTCTGTCTTTGAACAGGAAGGAGAGACCAGCTGGTCCAATGTGAAAGGGCCTGGGGAGTTGGGGGAGGGTGACACCCTGGAAGTTTCTCTGGGGCTGGAAGACCATCTGTTTCCGGGCCGGGTCAGCAAGAGGGAGGCCCCGGCTCCAGGCCAGCATCCATTACCACCTGGCGGCTGCCTGCCCATCTCCCCACCCACTCCTGCCCTCTCCTCTGCCAGCTCCCCGCTCACGGCAGACAAAGGGCTCACACAGCTCAGGGCTGCTGTGGCCAGGAACAGGGACAGGAGTGGAGAAGAAAGGAGGCCTGAGTCCTGGGCAGGTGGGGTCAACAGGGAGTGCAGAGATTTCACTGTGGCCTGAGGATGAAAGGCAGATTCTGCCTCACTTAGCCCCTTTTGGCAACATGACCCAAACTGGCAGTTCTTTCCAGCCAGCATGAACTGCTCACTGCCAAGGACCTGCGAGATGTTCACGGACCTAAGAGAATACTTAAAGTCTGAAAAAAAAGAATTGGCTCCAAAACATAGGGAAAAACTGCAGAATCAAAATTAATAAATGTTTAATTAAATGTCTGCAAAACAGAACATAATGTCAGCCAGTCAACTGCAATTTGGCTTTTATCTGGTTATGTATAATTTACATTTGATGTTTGATGTGGTTGCATTTTAATATGCCTGATAGATGTTGAGCCCGCGAAGGTCTTAAAACAGTCCTGCCCAGAACATGCAACCTAATCTCCCTGGCCTCAGTTTCCCTTTCTCTAGGACAGGGCCGGCACTTGCCATTCTGCCTGTAGCATGGTTGCTGGGTGAAGATCAGAAAGGAAAGACGGTGGTATCCTGGGCTTATGGGTTTATGACCCAGCCTTGCCCTGGACTTTCTGTATCTCTGGGTGGTCTCTCTGCTTCTCTGAGCCTTATTTACTTCCTTGTTGTGAACATTAAATTAAGTGACAGACTGGAAAATAATTTACAAACTGTCGAGGGATTTTGTGCCCAGAGAGCAGGGGAACATACACTGGATAGAGGTCTCAGGCTCTTCCTCACCACGAAGCAACCTCTCTTGGGCTTCCTCCAGGAAGCCCACTCAATTTGGAAGGAAGGTGAGAGAAGTTGATGTCACCACCCACGGATTACTTACCATCTCAAGGCAAGGAATCTAGATCCGAGGGGAAGGGATGTACATTTGCTTTTTTTTTCTTTTCCTGATACCGACGATCAAACTCAAGACCTTGCACTTGCCAGGCAGGTGTGGTTCCACTGAGCTACTGAAGGAAATGAGCTACATCCCTGGCTCATACATTTGCTTTTTGCCAGAACATACCTTCATCCGTCTATCTCTCCAGCGTCACTGCCAGGTGCAGGTGACTTATCTTTTGCCTGGACAACCACAAAAGCCTTCTCTGTGGGCTCCTTCCCCCTGCAGTCCACTCCCCACATGCATCCAGAACCTGTTGGATCACATCATACCCTTTGAAAAGCCTTCCAGAGGCCTCTGGCACACTTGGAATCAAACTCGGGCTTCTCCCCTCAGCTTGCAGGCTCCAACCATGCAGCCTGACCGTTTCTCTCACTGCATCTTAAACCACCGTCCATGTGTTCACCACACTCCAGGTTCCCTGGAAGGTCGAGCCAAACTTGTTCCTGAGGCAGGACCTTTGCACTTGCTGCTTGCTGAGCCTGGAACACCCTGCCCCCATCCTGCAGTGGTTGGCTTCTCATCAGCTTATTCATCACCTTCTTAGAGACGGCTTCAGGCCACTTCCTCCCTCAGCAAATCACTCTAGTCTATCAAATCCTCCCCTCTTACTTTGTGCTTAACATACTGTGTAATAACTTTATTTATTTATTTAGACATTTGTTTTTTATTCTATCACTGGGGATCTATGAGGGCAAGGACCTTATCTATTTTAGTCACCACTGTGTCTCCTGCATTTGCGCGTGTAGTAGGGCACCCAATCAATATGTGCTGAAGGAATGGATAAATGTGAATGTTTGCTTGTG